ACGTAGGGAGCTTGCTGATCTTGTCGAACTTGCACATTTGACACGGGGATGTTTTGAGGAGGAACATTACCATAGGGCGCTTGATAAGCGGGCTAAACATCAATTTTGAATATAGCTAAGATAGGCATGGATATCAGCATTTCCACTCACAAAGTAGACTTGACTCAATATACATGAAATCAGTCCAATGCGAGTTTTAAATAAACTTACATTAGGTGGCATATTAGCAGGTGCGGGAGCCATTACTGGTGCAGCTGGATTCGCAACCGGAGGTTGGTACATGGATGGCTAAAAATATTTGATAACTCCCAAATGTGACTGACAAGCTCGAAATCAAAACGATGCATCACTAAATTCACGGATAAAAAGTCAGATGATCTGAATCCCAAACAAACAACAAACCAGTTCAAACGCCTAACACATTGTAAAAGTGATAAACAATTTACTATGAATGTTATAAGAACTAACCTGAAAATGCGCTTGTTGCACAGCTTGATCATACAATGCTAGCACATCTCGGATTGCCATATCAACCTGCAATCCACAATACTTAATCAAGAAATGCGTAAAGTCGGAAGTTTAAAAGTAAAAAGAAAAATAGAGAATGATTTGGCTGGACTTTTCGTCGCTGTCACAGTGCGACTTGATAAAAATCCGTCTTGCATAGAATTCAGAAAAATTCTGCAGTAGATATACTCAAGGTAACAAGTAATAACGAAGGTAATAAGCTGTTTTCAAAATCAAAACCTTCAGTGAGAATAGGCAAGATATACCTGAGAAAGTGCGTTGACTTGAGAGTCGATGGCAGCCAAGCGGGCATTTATCAAGGGACCTTGCGCGCGAGCAGCTTGTTCAACCTAAACGCAAGCTATGAGTAACAAAGATACCTAGTGTGTGGATAATCCTACAAAAGTTTACCTTGGCCAATTCAGGGGGATCAGGTGTTTCACCTGTGGGATCACAGTCCTCCAGCATTTGTATACATCGCAATAATACTGATTCATCGATTGTTGTTACTGCCGGGGCTGGTGTACTGTTTGATGTGGGGACAGATTCGGGCTAAATATCCGTACGAAATTCAAGATAAAAATTCAAATGTAGAAAAAGATGCATAACATCATAAAATATACGAAGTACACTGTGTCAGTCTCGCTCAAGTTTGTTGGCTATTTGCAATTTTTTAGTGACGGCATAATGTAACAAAAAAAAA